GAATTTACATAATAAGAATCAAATGTGTTAATTATAAAAACATAATTTGAATGTGCATAGTAAAAGTTATTATGAGCAAATACAGTAGACAAATTGGAAAGTATTTACAAGAGTTAATACTGACAATACTCAAAGTTAACACTTAAAAATTCATCAGAAGATGACAAATAGCCCACAGAAAAAATGGACAAGGATACTGATTAAACAATTTACATAAAAGCAAATCCACATATCTGAAAAGCATGAAAAAATACTAATTTCACAAGTGAAGAGATTTAAATAAATGTAATAATTATGAATTGAGGAGTTATAACATCTATGGTTGTAGGGACATGAGTAGTTTCATAATTTTCTCATAAAAGTGTGAATATTTGTAACACTTCAGAAGTAATAGGGCAACATACATTAAAATTTATATTTTTACCTCTTGAACTTAAGAGAATTTATGAACAATTTTTATTATTACCTTGTTCTTTGATGAAACCAAACCAAACAAAACCTCTGGAAACAAAGTGAATGTTTATAAAGTGGTAATTGGTTGAATTGATTGTTTCTTATTATCCATATCATGAGATAATACATGGGATATACAGACATGTAAAATCTCAATTTCATGTATAGTAATTGACAGGGAGGCTTTCCACAATGTATCAGTGAGTAAGAAAAAGAGAGATGGACATTTTTAAAAAATGATGACAAAAAGACTAATGTGCCAGTGTTCATACACAAACATGTTTGCTTATGTATGTATGTGAATGGTTACAAAAGTGTAAAAAAATTTAGAATAATAGAACTCAGTTGCTAACATGGGTTATCTGTGATATGGAAGCAGAAGAGAACAAGGAGTGGACAGCAATTAAAGGAAACTGAAGAATTACAAATTCAAAAGCAATAGCATTGGCATATAATTTGGGAATTTATATAAAATTATATATATATATTTTTTAAATAAAATATTTTTCAAGATGAAAAATTACCATGCTGATGAAAATAATAGAATGGGCAGATTTAATTTAAATCTAAAGTAAATGTGGCATTTATATTTTTCTAGCTCAGGTCCAGATTTTCTTAAAAATCAACATACAACAATACTACAGAACCTGAACATATATTAAAATACTGCAATCAATGGTAAATAAATAGCTTTTTCAAAATTTTTTCTCCCACATGAAAGGGAAATATAGATAGATAGATAGATAGGTCTTTTTGTTAAAGTAGGATCAGTGGAAAGGAGAAAATAAATAGCAGAAAGGGAGAATGGGACCAGCCTAAGGTTGAAATTTTAGAAACTTGATCCGACCTTTAAAAAGATTCAGGGGGGGCGCCTGGGTGGCTCAGATGGTTAAGCGTCTGCCTTCGGCTCAGGTCATGATCCCAGCGTCCTGGGATCGAGTCCCGCATCGGGCTCCCTGCTCCTTGGGAGCCTGCTTCTCCCTCTGCTTCTCTCTCTCTCTCTCTCTGTCTCTCACTATCATGAATAAATAAATAAAATCTTTAAAAAAAATAAAAAAAAAATAAAAAGATTCAGGGGAATCTGATAGGGAAATGGAAATGAAATTTTCAACGAGCAAATATTTGCTGAGTATCCACCAGGTACCAGACTCTGTTCTAGGCACTGAGGCCAGTGGTAAAAATGGAAGCAGAGAGTTCATTATGTAGAGCTTAGATTCTCCTTCTGGAAAATATGATCATAAACAAGTAAACAAGTCAATGGAGGTAGTCGCCAAGAGCATGTGGGCTCTGGGACAGATCAGATGGTACTGTGATGACGAATGGTGTGGAGCACGGCCGACATGAGACTGTCTGGGCAAAAGGAATCCCTCCCTGTGCAGCTCTGACAGGAACATTCCCAGGTGGGGAGAACAGTGAGTGCAAAAGCTGTAAGTAGGATGTTCCTGGCTGGAGGGGACCAGATGAAGACAAGAGGGCTGGGAGCTGAGGACGAAGTCAGAGAGAACTGGAAGACTTTGCTGTAGAACTTTCAAGGCCCCACTTCGGTTCGAAAACATGAATTAGAAGTTGCTAAAATCTGGATAATCAAAATATCAAGAAAAGCAAGCTCAGGATGGGGTACTTGGCCAAGCTCAGGTTGGTCTTCCGTGAGCCCCCAGGACCACTAGCTTTAAGGAGCATAAAGTGCACTACAGGTCAGAAATCATCTGAGGTAGCTATTCCAGATGAATTATGTACAGACAAAGGGAACCTCCTCAAAAAAGCAGGATTTTAGCCAAAGACGTTCAAGCCTGAAGTAGCACTGTCATATACATGTGATATAATGGCTACCCGAGGACCAAAATAAGGCTTGCAAACCTGTTGAGATGGGGAATTCCAGAGAAATGACCAAAAAATTATGAGGAAGCGACCAAGGGAGACACAAGGCTACAAACTGCTGAGAGGGTGCCTATAAACCAATTCAATACATCCTGTTTATAAGAAGGATCAGAAGCTAAGTTCCTAGAGAAAGCCCACATTCACTTTAGTACCAGTGTGCCAAGAATTCAGGGACAGGAAATAACATGGAATGGAATATTTAGAAACTTAAATAGGTACTTTTAATTAAATTAAAACTTTTAAACAAAGACTTTAAATGAGATTCCCCTACCTTACGGGAAAGAAGGGAAGTTCAGTGAAATCCTGGGTACTATAGGAGAAACCTCTCTAAATGTCTAAATTTTGCAAGAAGACAAGGGTGTTTGAGATGACAGTCTCTGAAAGAGGAAGAAATTGTGTATGTGACAGATCCCTGCCCCTCCCCCCCCCCAGGTTATGGGGATCTTAAAGTCATGAACAACTTGAAATTTTCCCTTCTTGAGTTTTATGTTTGTAAGTGATAAACTCTAGTAAGATAACTTTGGTTTAAGTGGAGTTCCGGCTAGACCGAAGAAATGTGTATCCTATTGTCACATTTTCTTTCCTAGATGATAATTAAGTTTCTTCTGTCTATGGCTGCAAACAGCCATGTGGGTTAGGACCAATTTCTTTCACTCTAAGAAATCATGAGGAATATTTTCACTCAGAATCACAAAAATACATGTACACTCAGACTCAAACCCAGAACCACTGGTCTCCCATGGTGGGACCCAGGCACTGGCATTTGAAAGAGTTTCATGGGCACCTGGGTGGGACAGTTGGTTAAGCATCTGCCTTTGGCTCAGGTCATGATCCCAGGACCCTGGGACCCAGTCTGGCATCTGGCTCCCTGCTCAGTAGGGAGTCTTGCTTCTCCCTCTCCTCCCCCCTTCCCCCTGCTTGTGCTTTCTCTCGCTCGCTCTCTCTCTCAAATAAACAAATGAAATCATAAAAAGTTTCACAAGTGACTGAGCTTCTTGCACCTACAAGAATGTTTGTCAAAACTATATTTATTTCTTCCTAGGTATGCAGCTTTTGTTTGAAAAAGCTTGGCATATGCAGAAATCAGTACTTTAGCTCTAAGCTGCCATTATTATATGTGTTGGGGGCCTGCAATATAGAATTTAAGCATGTGGGCCTAAAGTCTACATGAGTTCATTATCCTGATTTCTCAGCCTAGTTCATGTTCACTTTGGGCAAACAATTTCTAAGCCTCAGTTTCCTTATCGCAAAAAATGGGACTTGTACTCAATTTCTAAAATCATCAAAATTAAAAGAGTTAAGGCGGATTATCTCATATTATAGTTACAGCTCACTAAAGGTTAGCTATTATTATCTCATTTGGCTGTGGAAAATTGTTATCTTTTAAATTTTGTGGGAATGCAACCAGAGCTGTAATGTTCTAAAGTGCTTGGTAGACCTCTGGAGGCTTGAAAACGTAGGCCGAGATTTCTGTGGGGAACTGGAAAAGGTGCATCAAGTTCTTGTAGAGGATGTGTTAGTCGGCTATTGCTACAGTAGAACCCAGACTCCATGCAAGCCCTTAAATGAGACCCTTTTAAGAGCCCAAGAAGAAAATAAGGAAGGTACTTTGGTAATATTTGGAAACATTGAAGTTTCAGTGGCAACAAAGTTAAGAAAGAACCAATTTCTTGGCCCTTAAGGGTTGATTTTATTTCTTTGGGGCTTTTTTTCTTCTATTATTGCCACTGTGTGATTTGGGTTGTACTGGTCTCCTGATGCCTTGATGTAACATATCAGGTGTGCTTACTTGTAACAGAGAATTGAACTTAGTTTGACAAGAGAACTAGAACAGGGCATGTCTTCTCAAGCATGTCTGGCATTGCAACAAATTAATTTTTGTGCTGTCCTGATTCACTTTGACTTTTCTGTGTGTGTTTAGGGGAGGGACATCAAAGAGGCATTTGTAACATGCTTGAGGTTCTCACCTTCCACCCCCTGCTCTCTGCTGCTACCTTAGGAGCCATACTGGTAACGGCCACCAAACCATGTAGGAGGGACTTCTCTGCCCTTTCCTCATCACCTCCCCCACCAGAGCTAGAAAAATTTTTAGATTTGTCAGAGATAGGAGCCTTAAAAAAAAACCACTGTGCATCTCCTCGTGCCATAAGGTACCTCCAGCGGTCATAGATACCATCCTATTCACTTCTTTTAATAGTCCATTTATACAGGAGGCATGGAGGTCATAGAATTTTCAAGTAGCTGCTCTCAAGTGGCAGGATAAGGATATCTGAGCCTTCTCGCCCTGGAGCCTTTGCCCACTTACTATAGAAACAGGGAAACCGAAGGGGTGAAAAATTTTTGGAAATATTATTCTAACTCATCCTTTTACATTTGAGACGTCTGACTCAGAGTTAAATGATTCGCCTCAGGCAGAGAGCCAGTCAGAAGCCTGTCTGGGAAGAGCAACATATCTCTTCACTTTGAGAAGTCTTATATCTCAAAATCCCACAAGGCACAGGAAGGACACAAGATCCATTCCAAACAGCTGTCTGCCGTGGCCACCTTTCCAGCTCATTGCTGGGGCAGTATGTTTACATCTGCCTTTGGTTCAGTAGAGTGAGGGACTTTCTGGAGCCTTAATGTCCAGTTGCAAGGCAACTGGAAAATTCTTTTAAGAGCCACTTTACCCCACAGAGCTAGAACTTGAAACTAAAGGGAAAGAAAAAACATTAGCTGTCAATATGGGGTTAGTGGTAAGCACAGAATTCAGGTGGTTAAGAAAACAACTGGTTAAGATTATTAAGAGAGCATATAGATATGTTTTAGAAATGTGAGGTTATATTAATCTTACTTTCTTTGAATATATATGACAGTTTTAAAGTGTTCACCTATAGTCAATTCCCCTTTTCATAATAAGGAGGATAGTATCTTACAAAATGACTATTTTTAAATGTAAGAAGCTTTGAGGAAAATTCTCATTTCTTGTCTCTGACCACAGCTAGAAATTAATTTTAATACAATACAGTGAAAAAGTTCATGAATACTTATCACAGAGGCATTTACGTGGGATTCTCATAAAAAAGCACACACATAACAGCCAAGAACAATAAATGAACTAATTTTCCAGGAGTAAATCATTCACTGATAATAGTGAATTTACATCTATACATTCTATAGCCTTCGACATCTGTGAAAGAGAATATTGGTGAGCAGCATGATTCACAGGAGCTATGAGGTAAAAGAATCAAATAAAACAACAAATTTCTAATATATACTTTTAAATAATTTGTAATATATTCATAAAATCTTCAAGAATGAAAATGCCAGGCAAGATAATAGAAATAACTTTGAGATTCAAGCTCTCCTGAAGATGCTTATAAACATCAAGAAAAAAAATGGCTAATAGATCTTATTGGATTAAATGGACTTTAGGAAAACATTATGTTGTTAAAAAAGCACAGGATAATGATACATGAGTAATGTGTCATTATTAAGCAATAATGAAAGAACATTTTAAATTATTACAACAATATCTACTCTTTAATAATATTAATACCTTTGATACCTAAGCACCTTTAGAGATAGTGCAGTGGATAGTGAAGCTGTTTTCTTAAATGATTATTTTTAACAGATGAAAGACTTTATATTGAACTCTACACACAATTGCCACTCAACTTTCTGTTCATGATAATGGTTCTGTCTTTGGGCATTTCATAGCAATTTTGCAAATTCAACTGTAACTTAAAATACCATTATTAAGATAATTTTACGCAAGCCCTTTTGGTTTAATTAGGATTCTAGCCGAAAAAAGCATATTCAGAATTTACAAACCACAGTTGGCTCATCTCCTCCCTCATTAGTTGTTATCAATCAAAAGTAAACTGGTTGTATAATGGAAAGAGAAATTTAGACACATGGTTAGAACAACTTTGAATACTTTGATCAAAAAAAAAAAACCCAGCATCTCATAATTTATATCATATTATATTTAAAAGTCTTTAAAATAAATCAATCTTTTAAATACCTACAGCCTAGCTGAGGGAAAAATGGGGGGATAAACAAGTGCATTTTCTTTCCTTCTGGTTCTGTTACAGCAAAAACGACAGCGCAGAGCAGGCAATTTTCCTCTTCTCCCACACCAGACCCTAACTTTGACCGAATGCTGCACTGTTGCTGGAAAATGCCCGGTGGTTTGGCAGAAGAGGGACTAAACCAGCATTGCCTGGAAATCCTATCTCAGCCCAAAGAAGAGCTAAAAATCTCTCCCAGTGCCTTCAGGAGGGCTCTGTGGTGTCTGGTACCAGCGTAAGACGCAGCATTTTAGCCTCTGTGACAAGTGCCAACGCACAAGATGCAGCCACAAAGATCACTGCTTAGGATCACCAAAGTTGAAGAGAACAGTTTAGAAAAGTCTCGGTAGCACCACACACCCTCTCTAAGGCAAGGTTATATCAATACAGCCTTGGAGAGGGTTTTTGAACTTTATGGTTAAGAAAGCGCCGCTCGTCCCTCGCCCCGTCCTAGCGCTGCCGGCCTGGGAATAGGCATTCATGGCCTGGCGAGTCCAGGTAAGGAAGACCCCCAAAAGTTGGGCTGGTGACCAGTGACACCTTCCTGGATTGTGGCCCCACAGAGGGTGCCCGAGGAGCTAGAAAGGGATTGAGGAACAGTCGAAAGAGTAAAGGTGAAAAAAGGTGCAGAATCCAAGGTAACAGTCCCCAGTCGCTAACAGGAATCCTCCAAGCCAGCGGAAGCACTGGGGACCGCAGACCAGCCTGGCCGCGCCCTTACCTGCACCCCGCCGCGGATGCAGAGTCCCGGCAGCGTCAGCCACAGAGCCCTCGCCAGGCTGCAGCAACAGGTCCGCCCCTATTCTGGCTGCCGCCCGGCTCCCACCACCTGCCGCGGCCCAGCGGAGCGGCTCAGCCTCGGCAGGTCCCTGCCGGCAGGCGGGGCGCCTGTGCTCTGCGCTCCCTCACCGCCTCCTTGCCCCCTTCAGAGGAAACGTCACTCTCCAGGGGAAACCAGCCAGCTGCTGGGATTCCGGAGAAGCTATTCTCAGCCCACTAAGGGCCATCCGATACCTTCTTGGGAAATTCAGAATCTGAGTGCAGCAAAGAAAAGGAAGCATCCCTATGACTGGTTTTTGCGTGGTTGTTTGCCTCTTGGGCAAGTGATTTAGCTTCTCGGTGCCTCAGCTTCCTCTTTCATAAAATAGAGATGATGATGATAACTGGGGAAATCTGAGAAGTAAATGAATGTTTATGTGCAGAATGCCTGGAATGGGTCCTGGGACATATTAAGCATTCGATAAACGTTAGCTGCTGTTTTAAGGTTCCCATCACATCTGTGAGTCCTTGTGGAGGCCTTTTAGGTTACAAGAAAACCTCTCTGCAATTCTGGAAATGTGAATTCACATCATAATTAGAAGGGGAAAGGAGAGAGCTGGGATAAATGCCCAGTGATTATGACAAGAAAATCTGCTTCGTTGGAATTGCTAATAGATCATGCCTAAAACTCAGTGCATTAACTTAGAGGTTTATACCATTACTGAGAAAGGAATATTTAAAGGTACGTTAAGATAGTAACACAGGTAGGGTCAAGTGTGGGCAAAGCCCTTGCATATGCTATCAGGTCTGATCCTCCCAGCAGTAGGCTTGTTAAGCGGTTGGTAGTTACAATTTTCCCCAGTCCTCACGGAGGCACCAAGGTTCAGTGGCTTGTCCAAAACTACAGAGGCAGTTTTCAAACGACAAAGCCAACTTCAGAAGCGGAATTCAGTTCTCTCACTATTAAATGTCTCTCCTGGAATCAGTGATAAATGTGGGATACAGGAAAATCTGCTTGAGAGACCTTTTCAAATAGGATTCCATGGTCCTGGATTAAGGTTGTATATTCAGACCTGTGTGTGTTCAAACCTTAGTTATGATCATGCTGAGGATGCAGAAAGAGGTATCTCTCCCAAGACTTTACCAAGTTCAAGGTAGAGATGCCATTCTCACTTCTGTGAAGTTTATCTATACCTAGGCATAGAAAGTCATAGGGGAAAAAGGCATTAAACAGTAACTACCTGGAGGCAAGGCTTAGAAGAGTAAGTTCAGGAAAATAAAGGTAAGAAGAGGAAGGCATTCTGTATTTAATCTGAGCTTCTCAGATCGAAGTGCAAAAAAAGAATGTGGGGGTACCTGAGTGTCTCAGTCAGTTAGGCGACCAACTCTTTTTTTTTTTTTAAGATTTTATTTATTTATTTGACAGAGAGAGAGACAGTGAGAGAGGGAACACAAGCAGGGGGAGTGGGAGAGGGAGAAGCAGGCTTCCCACCGAGCAGGGAGCCTGATGTGGGGCTCGATCCCAGGACCCTGAGATCATGACCTGAGCCGAAGGCAGTCGCTTAACCGACTGAGCCACCCAGGCGCCCCTAGGTGACCAACTCTTGATCTCAGCTCAAGTCTTGATCTCAGGGTTGTGAGTTCAAGACCCGCAAGGGGCTCCACACTGGACATGGAGCCTACTTGAAAAAAAGAAAAATGTGGACAGACACCCCATATAATCTCTCTTCCTACTTCTACTGGAAAAATAGATCATCAAAATAAATAGGGATAATGCACTGCTTTTGATGAGACAGTGAGGTAATGTCTAGTTTGTGAGAATTCTGTTACAAATTAAAATAAATACAAAACTTGCCATGCAATAGTCATTAAATTACTAGTCACTTGCTATATCTTATAGAATAACAGTGTGAACTACTGTCCTGATTCCACCCCCAAATCCCCCAAACCCCACTGGAAATGTTAGACCATGTCCATAAGCAGGAGAAAATTATATACAGAGAGGGACCTGAAATAAGCTTTTTCTTACTACTTCCCCCTAAAGCCCACACACGCTGCTTTAACCTCTACCCTTTCATTTATTCTGCTTTACCTTACCCAGTTCCAGTAGAAAAGCTTGTCTTCCTGCCAGCTAATGCTTATCTCTACAAATGTAAGCTTTGCTCCCCACCTTCTCCCACATTTTCAGGATGCTCATACTCTCTCTCGTATAGATCTCCCTTCCCTGTCAAATGAATTATTCCCACTGACTTTTAATGATGCTCAATCTCTCCCATTATAATAAAAAGTCCCCACAAGGCTTTAAGTACACACACCCACATCAGTCCGTTCCAGGCACAGTCATACTGTAAACTACAGTCCAGTTCTACTGTTTGCATGTACTCACTTCTTGCTCATTCATCAACCTGATCCAACCAAGCTTCTGTCTCATTCTAAATGTCCCATCTCTGCAACAACCTTGCAAAGATCATCAGTATCCTTCATGCTGATAAATACACTGGATTTTTTTCAGGCAGTATTTTTACTTGGTCTTTGAGTGCTTGGCTTCCTTATGAAACAGTTTCTTCTCTAGGCATCTGTTTTATAATATTTCTCTCTCTCTCTCTTTTGTTTACTCTGCATATCCAGCTGATGAATTTTTGTGTCTTTTACAGGCTCGTTTCCTACACAGCCACTTAATATATACGGTACCTTGAGGCTCAGTGCTAGGCTCATTCCTCTTATTCTGGACTAAACTATTAGGCATTCTTATCCACACCAGTGCCCTCTATTACCACATGTATTCAGGAGATCCAAACATCTGTATCTGTAATTCCTCAGAGATCCAAACTCTTACTTGACCTTTCCAACTGCTGTTTCAAAGTCAACCTCTAATTCAACATGTCTAAAATTAGAGTCATGGTCTTCTTCCTAAAACATTGTTTCCCAGCTCGGTTAATAGCATGTCCACCCATCCTTTTCACTGCTAACTTAAATGTAGTGTAACCCAAGACACCACCTTGCACCATGGGACAGAAACTACATGCTGAGTATGGCAGGGAAGCAGGACAAAAGAAGCTGGAGTCCTTGGCTGCTTTGGAAAACTTTTCCAGTTTTTACTAACTTACCTCTGACTTCTTTTACATGTGAGAGACATAAAAGTTCATCTTTAAAAGAAACATATACATCTTTACGTGTCCTTACATATTGCTTAGTATAATCCTCACATAAGTATAAAATCAGTATAACTTGATGTAAATAGAATTAATACACGATATTAATACATATTAATACACGATATTAATTAATTAATACACAATACAAAATAAGAATTAAATTTTAAAATAGTTTGTCCACATGGCACTTAAAATGGTCATGTATTCCACCAAGCAGATCCCAACTTGTACCCTATCTTTGGAAACATTGCCTGACACAGTATGATAATAAACTGATATGTTGTGGCACAGAAGGAAGGGTCAAACACGCTAACCATATGGTAGCTTTGGGAGAACAGGACCAAGAAGGCACAGCAGGAAATAGAAAGAGAACCTGGACCCCAGAAAGGAGCAGAAATGAATGAAGTGACTACAGGGAAGGTAATATAAGGGAAAGGGGGGAGTAAACATAATTGTAATCATTTCTGATCCAATATTTTCTGACTTCATTGTTTTGACCTAGTAGTTTTTTCGTGGCAAAAAACAAAACAAAACAAGGATGAAGATAAAGGGTTACACACACCCAGTGTCTGTCCACATTACATATCTGATGGGGCAAGAGAGCTCTCTCCTGGAACTAAATTCTCAACGTGAAACAAAGTTGCTCAAGGACGTCCCTTCTCATCCAGACAAAAAGACATATAACCATTATTTATTGCATTCAACTGGGTTTATTACATTGCCCTGACCAGTGAGAGGACCAAACACTTCATTGCTTATTAAGAGAGAAGACCACTGTCGAGTTTATAATCAAAATATTGTTGAAGAGAATTGCCCCCTACTCCCAATTTTCCCTGAACAATCGAGGCTCTCAGAATTCTAGACAGATCCCCCCCACCCCCCACCCACCGCCTCAGAACTGAGTGTCGCTGCTGCTTTGGAAAAATATTCCATGTGAATACTGTAGTATCATTGTCAGGAGCTGGACTTAAGAAATTGGATGAACTGTGCCAGTTTGTTATAGGCAGATGGGGAACACCAATTTAATTGCTGGAGTTAGGGTGTAGGTTTTCTACAATTGTTTCTAATATACAAGATGCTGACTTGGAATGTATATATTTGTAATCTTGTTTTTTTTTTAAGATTTTTATTTATTTATTTGAGAGAGAGAGAATGAGAGATAGAGAGCACAAGAGGGAAGAGGGTCAGAGGGAGAAGCAGACTCCCTGCCGAGCAGGGAGCCCGATATGGGACTCGATCCTGGGACTCCAGGATCATGACCTGAGCCAAAGGCAGTCACTTAACCAACTGAGCCACCCAGGTGCCCCTATATTTGTAATCTTGTAATGGGGAAAATGTATATAAAGATGTTTTAATATGTATGTAGCATTTCAATAAATCTCAATGCCTCAAGGCAAACAACAACAAAAAAGAAATCAAAAAACAAAACCAGATTGACTAAAAATATTTGCATTGAAGATAACAAAGGCTTACTAAAGACAAAGGACATAGATAAAAATTCACATGATTAGATTTACAAAGAATAAAGAAATGGATATTGTTAATAATCAGAAAAATGCATATTAAGGCAACAGTCAAGTTCCATTTTCCCATTTAAATATAATAATATGTGTTTGTCATGTTATGAAGGTAGCATAATTAACGTAGTCCTTTTGAAAAGCAACTTGATTATGTATAAAAACCAACAAAAAGTGTTCATAGACTCTGACTTAGGAAACAAATTCCTGGAAATATATACATCAGAAATAATTCAAAAGAAATAAATGCTTCAAGCAGAAAATACCCATTTGTATTGACTAAAAGGTAGAAAACCAGAGGTAATCTGATAGACAAACTCAATGACATTTATAGGAACATATAAATGTTTTATATTTATATGTTCCTCTAAAGTTTTGATTATGACAATGTACCAACATAGAGAAAAAATTAGAAAATATTAAGTGAAATAAATAGGATATTTAGGTAAACTAAAACCTCATCGATACAAAAATATGAATTCTTCTAAGTAATGCCTGAATGAACATCTGAATAACCAAACAGTGTATACGTCATGGTAGTACGATTGTAGAGTGAATTTTTTTCTAGAATTTATATTAGTTATTCTATGTTTGTAAAATTTTAAAAAATAAAATGTTACTTTACTGGATAAAACACCAGAATGGAAAATCAGGAGTCCCAGAATCTGGTTCAGTTTTGTCATCTTAGTGCTTCATGCATTTCAGCTTTTCATATATAGTGTAAAGGGATTCACCTAGTGTTTTTCAAGTTGTAAGGACTTATGACCTAACTCTGTTAAAATCTAACTAGTTATCCTACTTGTCTCAGCAAAGCAAACCATCTACCGTGCTTTCCAAATTAGCCTATTACCTTTTCTTTCTAGAAAGAAGTCTATTCCATTCACTTAATAATATTTGTTGACTCTTTACCATTGGGTAAAATCATGTGCTAATACTTCAGAGGGGCAGCAGGAGAGGAGTAGGACTTAAATACATAAAACACTGCTCCTGAACTCATGAAACTTCCATTTTTACTTGTTATGGAGGGGCAAGACACAGGTTAGCATGTGATTAGGAAAAGAAGTTTGGACTCAAAGAGGAAAGGTTATTACAGATGGAAGCATCAAGGATTTGACATGTGAGCCAAGTATCAAGGAATAAGTTTCATTTGGACATGTGGAGATGGGGATCAGTGTGGATTAAGTTGGTCAGGCAAAGGAAAGAGTATGAGCAAAGTTAAGAAGCTAGGGAACTCAGGGATATGTGGAAACAGTTCCTTGTTGGGTGTATGAGAGAAGCACAGGTTGTGTGAGAGAGGAGAGAGGAGAGAGGGTGTTAGACTCTAGGACCAGGGCTACCCTATATTGTAACACTGTCTGAACAACTGCTCACAGAAGTGATGGGAGGGGCTTTTTCAGCTGCTTGTCATGAACCCTAAAAGGTGTTCCATGTTTGAAGCTCAGCAACACAGCCATCATGACATGGGAGGGATAGAACCACCATTATGGAGTAAGGTAAACAAATAGATGAGTCCAAAGTCTTG